ATAGGAAAAAAAAAATACTGCTACTTTGCAGATTTACTCGGTGACATCCACATGATTTATTGCAGAATTATAAGAGCATCAAAGCGGCAAACATGATTAATGGCGCAAAGTTCCAAGGGCAAACGACCATTTAAAATTGTGACCACGCATCTGAAAACTACTTAATGGCAAGGATGCAGATCTGAAATTAAATATGGCCACATTACGGAAAAATAAATAAAATAAAAACAGAGGTAAAATGGGTTATATTTAATGAATTACGTTAACAATGTGCGGTGTTTTCGGTTACAACCATCACATATTTGTATGTGTGTTTGATCTATTAAATGGCTATGCTTTATGAAAATGCTGCACACCACTAGATGAACATTAAAATGATAGTTTGGGATGTAATATCACTGACGTATTACCGTAAATGAAACACGGGAGTTGATCTTGTGTGTATGTAAATTAATCAAGCACTGTGGATACAAAGTTTATTTTTTTCTTTCTATTTTTAAAACTAATTCTTCAGATCTTATGCAAAGCATGGTCAAGAAATCAAAGCTTTACCAGTTAATACGCACTATACATAATAAACAACACATCTATCGCTTGAAACAAAATTCTTTGAGACTGGATCATATACAGCAGGAATACATTTTTAACTGTGCGATGGTATAGAAACATGGAATGTGAAGGCAGATAAGAACCATTCGGCCCAACTAGTCTGCCCAATTTTATAAATACTTTCATTAGTCCCTAGTCTTATCTTATAGTTAGGATAGCCTTATGCCTATCCCACGCATGCTTAAACTCCTTTACTGTGTTAACCTCTACCACTTCAGCTGGAAGGCTATTCCATGCATCCACTACCCTCTCAGTAAAGTAATATAGTATAGTTATGAGTTAATTTGTGCATGGGGAATGGGACACGGTACTTCCTTTAACTCTACGTTAAGGAAAGAAATAGCAAATTGGGCGAGCATAAAAATTAGAAATATCCTACCTGTTTTTTTCCTAAGTTATTAAAAGAAAAAAAAATTATGGTGCATGGAGTCCATTAAAGTTTCAGAAGAGGCAGAATTTATTAAATAGTGCAATATTTCTTTTTTTTTTTTTTTTTCAAGCCAGTGACTGCAAATGGTAAAATCATGCGCTTTGAGCCAGTGAATCGGTCCAATCACAGGTTTCTCCATGAGATGACTATGACTGGACCTGGCTGACTGCCCTTACATCATGAAGAGGGGTAGAATATGGCGCCAGGAGCTTCAACCGGAACTGGATTCCAGGTGAGCAATAACTTTATTTTAGTCTTATTTTTTTTAGTTTGGGGGAAGGGGACCTAAAGTATAACGACCAACAGGGCATTATACAGAGGCAGAAAAAAACAAAAAAAAACAAAAAGGGTTGGAGGGATGTAATTAACGTTAACTAGAAAACAGGGGTATAGTAATACGCATCCTTTATGGCAATGGATATGAGCAGATGGATACAAGGGAGGTGTGATGAGTAGCTTTCGATCTTTTTTACTGACAGCACACAAAATATTATTAAATTATTATTTTGATAATTTTGAGCTTTGATGTTTGACCTGCAGTAAGTAAGAATACCTGAAATCCTTTTGTTTAAATTCTACAGCGCACAATTCTTCCAGCCCTCACAAATGATTAGAAAGGAAGCCAATACATATAAAGGCTGAATGTATTATGCTTTACAAAGGGAGAAAATGTTGAACCCATTTTTGGAAAACCATATGAACAGATATAATCATAATTTAGAGCATCCATTAGGATTCCTTAAAGCTGGAGTACATCATCACAAATGTGTTTCCATCCCTTAGAGAGAGAAGGTACCCTTCAGTGATCCTGGCACAAACAACCTGTCCATTGCATTCCCATGATGTGATACAGCCCTTTATAAGTCATTCATGTATGTTACTAAACATTTCTCTTAGGAAATGGGGCGTCACATCATTTATCCATGTCATAAAACTGCCTAAACAAAAAGTTGTTTCACACTTGCAGTAATAAAACACTATGTACTGCCTGAATCCAGGGATATACGTACCCGAGCCATGAAGGGCATGGTACATCAGTCCATGAATTATTTGTTGGGATACAATGATTCTCTACAAATAAATGGAGACTTAAAATGAAGCCAGGTTTCCAGTGTCAAGGGTCCATGCCTCTTCTGGATTCACAGTTAAGTTGAAGTGAATGGATACAAATAACCATAGCATACTACAGCTGAACTCAAGATAAGTACTTAAATAAAAGATACATTTTTTAATTTTATACAAAATAAAGCTAATGAGATTTAGCACATACAATTTTTTAATTTTTTTTTTAGCAACAAGATAATTTCTATGACAAATATTGCATTCTTCAATTAGGTGATCCCCCGAACATGATTCGGATCACCGAATAGGCCAACGCATTTTCCAGGGATCCAACAGTCTCAGTACCATATGGCAAACATTAAACTGTGCAGCACATCAGAGACTGGGTTGCTTCTGCAGATTCTGTCACTCTGCGGTCATTAAGTTTTGTGTTTCCAGGCGTACATCCGTTACATAAATTGCCAAAATGAAAAGAAGAGCTTCTTTTTAATTATTGAACACAAATGAACACTTGACTTCCAGTATACAAGATTTTGCTAGCAAGGATTGCAGCTAAAAAAGACTTAACGGAAAGTAAAGTTAATGGGATGATATTTCTTTCTTTCAACTGCTTTGAGCAAAGCAGAGAAGAAATATGACCTGAATATGAGGACTATTATTTTAGAATACAAATCCTATGCTGATACTGCTAAACAGTTGGGAGGGGGTAGGGTGCGGACAATGACAAGATGAGCCTGCAAAACAATATTCTACATAACAGTCACAGATTAAACTCCAACTTAAAATGCATTCAGCGTATCAAAGGGAAAATATAAATAAAACTTTTTTTATAAGGGGAAAACACACTAAATTAATTCTTTACATACAATGCAAATTTGATTAAAAAGCCATTTTAATCACATTAAATGATAATTTCCTAATACACTGCTCAAAAAAATAAAGGGAACACAAAAATAACACATCCTAGATCTGAACGAATTAAATATTCTTCTGAAATACTTTGTTCTTTACATAGTTGAATGTGCGGACAACAAAATCACACAAAAATTAAAAAATGGAAATCACATTTTTCAACCCATGGAGGTCTGGATTTGGAGTCCCACTCAAAATTAAAGTGGAAAAACACACTATTTGCTGATCCAACTTTGATGTAATGTCCTTAAAACAAATCAAAATGAGGCTCAGTAGTGTGTGTGGCCTCCACATGCCTGTATGACTACCCTACAACGCCTGTGCATGCTCCTGAGGGATCTCCTCCCAGACCTGGACTAAAGCATCTGCCAACTCCTGGACAGTCTGTGGTGCAAAGTGACGTCGGTGGATGGAGCGAGACATGATGTCCCTGATGTGCTCAATTGGATTCAGGTCTGGGGAACGGGAGGGCCAGTCCATAGCATCAATGCCTTCGTCTTGCAGGAACTGCTGACACACTCCAGCCACATGAGGTCTAGCATTGTCTTGCATTAGGAGGAACCCAGGGCCACCCGCACCAGCATATGGTCTCACAAGGGGTCTGAGGATCTCATCTCTGTACCTAATGGCAGTCAAGCTACCCCTGGGGAGCACATGGAGGGCTGTGCTGCCCCCCAAATGAATGCCATCCCACACCATTACTGACCCACTGCCAAACCGGTCATGCTGGAGGATGTTGCAGGCAGCAGAATGTTCTCCACAGCGTATCCAGACTCTGTTACGTCTGTCACATGTGCTCAGTGTGAACCTGCATTCATCTGTGAAGAGCACAGGGTGCCAGTGGCGAATTTGCCAATCTTGGTGTCCTCTGGCAAATGCCAAACGTCCTGCACAGTGTTGGGCTGTAAGCCCAACCCCCATCTGTGGACGTCGGGCCCTTATACCACCCTCATGGAGTCTGTTTCTGACCTTTTGAGCAGACACATGCACATTTGTGGCCCGCTGGAGGTCATTTTGCAGGGCTCTGGCAGTGCTCCTCCTGTTCCTCCTTGCACAAAGGCGGAGGTAGCGGTCCTGCTGCTGGATTGTTGTCCTCCTACGGCCTCCTACACGTCTCCTGATGTACTGGCCTGTCACCTGTTAGCGCCTCCGTGATCTGGACACTATGCTGACAGACACAGCAAACCTTCTTGCCACAGCTCGCATTGATGTGCCATCCTGGATGAGCTGCACTACCCGAGCCACTTGTGTGGGTTGTTAGCTTCGTCTCATGCTACCACTAGAGTGAGAGCACCGCCAGCATTCAAAAGTGACCAAAACATCAGCCAGGAAGCATAGGAACTGAGAAGTGGTCTGTGGTCACCACCTGCAGAACCACTCCTTTATTGGGGGTGTCTTGCTAATTGCCTATAATTTCCACCTGTTGTCTATCCCATTTGCACAGCAGCATGTGAAATTGATTGTCACTCAGTGTTGCTTCCTAAGTGGACAGTTTGATTTCACAGAAGTGTGATTGACTTGGAGTTACATTGTGTTGTTTAAGTGTTCCCTTTATTTTTTTGAGCAGTGTATACTCCAGCAACTTAAAAAAATAAAACTACACTGGAAGCACCCCAACTCGCACAGAACAGAAACCATAGACAATTCTGATCTGCGTGCAACTGTTAGCGGTCTTTGCATATCTCCAGCCATCAATAACATTAACAACACTCATCGTTTATTGAGCCCGGCTCCAAAACTGACAATTTAGTTGATGTTGATGGCAACAAACAAGGATCTAAAGTTAAAGGGTTACTCCACCACTTCAGTGATTTGAAGTTGTCATGGTGGGAGGAATCAGTATGTGCAGTTTTTCAGCATATAATGCTGGTACATCAGGTATATCCACAGGAACCTGGAACTGATGAATTGGCAGCAGACTCCAAAGTAGATAAGGAGGTATTTTTATTGTAACAAAATTAAAAATAAAAGAATGTATATATATATATATAGTTTCACAGTGAAGTAAAAAGTTCTTATATATCAGAGAATAAGAACTTTTTACTTCACTGTGAAACTAGATGCACTTGAAAAAGACCTATGTAAGGTTGAAACGCTTTTATTGCTTAATCATTTGTATATATATATATATATATATATACATTCTTTTATTTTTAATTTTGTTACAATAAAAATACCTCCTTATCTACTTTGGAGTCTGCTGCCAATTCATCAGTTCCAGGTTCCTGTGAATATACCTGATGTACCAGCATTATATGTCTTAAGGAGGAGACGATAAGTGCTACAAGTTTAGAGCCAACTTTTAAAAAGGCTCTGGAAATTGGGAGTGTGTGAAAAAAAGTTATTCCTCACTTTGATATTTTATATATACAGGTTACACTATGTATGTTTTATTTACCTGTGTATAGGTTACAAGAACTACCTAATGTGCAAAATTACCTGAGGCATTATTTTACGTAAGGTAATAGCTTTTCTACTTTGTGTGCGCTAATCACCTTTTCCTTTTATCTTAAAAAAGTTTACATTAAAAAATTAAAATGAATGAATGAAAGGGGAGAATTGGAACAAACGTAGTGAGACATTTTATTGCACAAATTAGTTTAGTGACCTGGTGCACATTGTTTGGCATTTAGTATGTCTGGCATATTGGCCGCACCTAAAAGTACACAACCTGTGGCTGCCAGATTTGCCAAATTTAATGGCACCTTTTTTTCAATTCAGAAAAATAAAAAGGTGGAGCCCTCAAACTACTGACCTGTATATGAAATTGCACAAAATAAAAACCTATATTTTGGAGCAGTACAATTTTAAATCACACATTTAATTGAACATGAGAAGCATCAAGCTCCCAAAGGTGAGACAATACATTTTACGGCCAGGTAAAAATCTGGACTATACATTAGTTTCATTAATTTTACACAGAGCATCAACCTTCCAACGGAAGCCATAGGTGCATGATATGAAGATAAACTGGAATTAGCATTTCAATAAAACATCAAGAAAAATCAAATTGAGAAATAATCAAATTCGGCTCATAGCCATCTCAAAAACAGTGGGATTGTTGTTTAGAGAACAGGATAACGACTCAAATGGTGAGTTTGAGATGAATTGTTATTTTCTACACAGGTGATTAGTTATTGGAATTTCTATACAGTCATGGAACAATTTATCAAAACGGTTTCTCACTGCGTTCACTAGAATTCATTTCTAAAGCTACATAACAATTTATAAACCTCTTTCTCACGAGACAAAGATCTTGTAACCATTTGTAAGAACAAGATGAAATGAACAGGGGTGTGTATTTCTTAAACTCTTTATTGTGTCAGGCTAATGACATTTATCAGGTATGAGGTAAAATTAGTTTGGCTGAAACCATTCTGGAGTTGAGGATACAATAATTTAAAGTCCCTGGATGCAATTCTGCAATCAGGAATGAGTTTTGAAAGGTACACTCGCTGTCATCCTGTATCGCTAATTCTTAATGCACTTTCCAGACGGTAAATAATAATTTGTATGGGTATAGAATATTACCTTGTATTTGAAGCTGTTAATCTTTAAATCAGCTCAGTCAATTTTTGAAATCTTCATAAAGACAATTTTACATGAAGAGCTTTTTGACGGTCTCAGAATTCTTTTTACATTTCAACAAAATCAATAGGCATACGTCCGAAAATATACAGTGCCTTGCAAAAGTATTCACCCCCATTGACTTTTGACCTATTTTGTTACATTACAGCCTTAAGTTCAATGTTTTATTAATCTGAATTTTATGTGATGGATCAGAACACAATAGTCTAAGTTGGTGAAGTGAAATGAGAAAAATATATACATAAAACTTTTTTTTATTAACAGAAAACAGAAAATTGGCATGTGCGGATGTATTCACCCCCTTTGTTATGAAGCCCATAAAAAGCTCTGGTGCAACTAATTACCTTCAGAAGTCACATAATTAGTGAAATGATGTCCACCTGGTGTCACATGATATGTCATTACATATACACACGTTTTTTGAAAGGCCCCAGAGGCTGCAACACCTAAGCAAAAGGCACCACTAACCAAACACTGCCATGAAGACCAGGGAACTCTCCAAACAAGTAAGGGACAATGTTGATGAGAAGTACAAGTCGGGGTTAGGTTATAAAAAAAATATTCAAATCTTTGATGATCCCCAGGAGCACCATCAAATCTATCATAACCAAAAGGAAAGAACATGGCACAACAGCAAACCTGCCAAGAGACAGCCGCCCACCAAAACTCACGGACCGGGCAAGGAGGACATCAATCAGAGAGGCAGCACAGAGACCTAAGGTAACCCTGGAGGAGCTGCAGAGATCCACAGCAGAGACTGGAGTATCTGTACATAGGACGACAATAAGCCGTCCGCTCCATAGAGTTGGGCTTTATGGCAGAGTGGCCAGAAGAAAGCCATTACTTTCAGCAAAAAACAAAATGGCGCGTTTTGAGTTTGCGAAAAGGCACGTGAGAGACTCCCAAAATGTATGGAGGAAGGTGCTCTGGTCTGATGAGACTAAAATTGAACTTTTCGGCCATCAAAGAAAATGCTATGTCTGGTGCAAACCCAACACATCACATCACCCAAAGAACACCATTTTAAGCAGCTGGGACTGGGAAACTGGTTAGAGTTGAGGGAAAGATGGATAGTGCTAAATACAGGGATATTCTTGAGCAAAACCTGTAAGTGATTTGAGGCTAGGATGGAGGTTCACCTTCCAGCAGGACAATGACCCCAAACACAATGCTAAAGCAACACTTGAGTGGTTTAAGGGGAAACATGTAAATGTGTTGGAATGGCCTAGTCAAAGCCCAGACCTCAATCCAATAGAAAATCTGTGGTCAGACTTAAAGATTGCTGTTCACAAGTGCAAACCATCCAACTTGAAGGAGCTGGAGCAGTGTTACAAGGAGGAATGGGCAAAAATCCCAGTGGAAAGGTGTGGCAAGCTCATTATTATCCAAAGCGACTTGGAGCTGTGATTGCTGCAAAAGGTGGCTCTACAAAGTATTGACTTTAGGGGGGTGAATAGTTATGCACATTGACTTTTTCTGTTATTTTGTCCTATTTGTTGTTTGCTTCACAATAAAAAAAAAAAATGTTTACATTGCTGGATTTAATGGGTGTGGGTGTTTTCAGCGCCAGGACCAAGTCAGACCATTTGCCGCACATGCGTATCTTATCATAGAGAAGCACTGGATTGGTCAATATAGTGGAAGAGTTGGCAAGCATAGTGACGAAGACAGCGAAAGGGGGGTTGGACAGAGGTCACAACAGTAGAAGGGAATTTATAAAACAACTTTTTCGGGACCATAGGTTTTCTTTGAATTGGAACATATTATATCGATATAAAAAAAGAATTTTTGAGGTTCCTAGATTTTTTTGTTTTGCATAGTGCTGATGAATGGAATGGAGATGCCTATAAAGCCTCAGCAATGGTGCAGAACAGTAAACTATGTACTGTTTCATACTGTGCTAAGAGCAAGTGTGACAACTGTGTTGGGTAGGCAGGTTTCTGAGAACTGATAAAGTCTCCTTTATAGTGCTGCGATCTGTAAGCTGTAGGTACAGTAGGCTGCATACTTTTAGGGTTTGCTGAACAATTTTAGAAGAAACAGAGGTAGCATTCATCTAACCTAGCTCCATTCATAAGCTCTCAAAGGGAGCTTGAGCTGCACACATTCGCAATCCCTGGCTCAAGAGCTTGTGGTGTGGAGCCACATTCCATAATTCTTTCTGGACAGCTATAGAGCAGTTTTTTTAGCAAATAATAAAAAAAACATATTCTAACAACAAAAACAGTGCAAATGAGCAATGAAAAGGAGTGCTGGTTTAAGTTCTTTCACAGGATCTACAATAAATAACAATACCCTGGGAATATTAGCATCCCAGCTGCTAACTTTATAAACAATGCACATTTTATATTCAACTCAAAATACACTGAAACGGAGCCTTTACAAAACACAAAAGCAACTAGAAACGTGGTTTGTCTATAGAAATGCTAAGAGTTCAGCTGCTTTAAAGGAACTAAAATGCATGCTGACAATGTCTGCCTGTAAAATTATTTTTAAGTAATTCAAAAAAGGAAAACATACAGAAGGCTGTAAAAAGAGAACGAGCATTTAAAAATAAGAACTGATTTTGAAAAATGCACAGCTTGGCTATTTTAGCCGCATGCCCTGTTCTACTTTTAGTTGCCCTGTCAACATGCAACATGATGCAATCTCCTACATCGAGAGGGGGGGGGTCACAAAAGTTCAAGACGGTGTTTTGGGTGGTTTTAGTTTATGAGAAAACATGGGGAGCTAGACATCTCCCCAACCTCAGGAGGTCTGTGTGTTTGTGGGTGTTTACTGCACTTTACTTTTGGTTCAAGCCAACTCCCTCAATGCAAACTATGTCACCGAAATTACAAGTGTATATTCTATGGATTGGAAGATAAATTGCTAAACAGTCTGCATAAGTCTTACACCTCTCTGCTTGACAAAAAATTTTGATATATTCATACAAACTGAAGCTTTCTTGACTCAGCGTATAACGAATCCTGTATTTAACACCTTAAAGCACCACTATAGTGCCAGGAAAACAAACTTGTTTTCCTGGCACTAACATGTTAATGGGCCCCCCCCCCACCCTCATGGCACTCCCTCCCGCCGGGCTGAAGGGGAAGGAAGGGGTTAAAGGCTTACCTTTCTCCAGCACCGGGGACTCTCCTCCTCCTTCCGACGTCATTGGCTGAATGCGCATGTGCGGCAAGAGCCGCGCGCAGTCAGTCCATAGGAAAGCATTCTTAATGCTTTCCTATGGACGCTGGTGTCTTCTCACAGTGAAAATCACAGTGAAAAGCGCGGAAGCGCCTCTAGCGGCTGTCAATGAGACAGCCACTAGAAGCTGGATTAACCCATATGTAAACATAGAAGTTTCTCTGAAACTGCTATGTTTACAGCAGGCAGGGTTAACCCTAGATGGACCTGGCACCCAGACCACTTCATTAAGCTGAAGTGGTCTGGGTGCCTATAGTGGTCCTTTAAGTGCAAGACCATTTTACAGCC